TCTTTCTTTCTTGATTTTGTTAGTTTTACCTTTGTAAGTAGCTAATATTAAATTACACATAGACCAGGGACAAAAACAGTACCAAGAGGAATGATGGGAAGATGAAAAAGGGATGGAAACTATTCTCCTCCCAAAAATAAATTAGTACAGGATTCAGAGGGAAATGAAGAAAACGGATATCCAGATCCAGACTCCAACAAAACAAAGATAAACTATACCAAGGAACCCAATGAAGCCCAAAGAACATCTTGAAAGAAGAAATCCTGCAAGTAATCAATGAGTACATCCACTATGAAAACAGTATGTAGGCTCCTCAACAAACTCAAGGTAGAACTGCCATACAATCCAGTAGTTTCACTGTTGGGGATATATACACAAAGGAATGTTAGTCAGGTTACAAAAAAGGCACCTGCACACGCAGGTTTATTGCAGCATTATTCGCAACAGCTAATCCATTGAAATAGTCAAGATGCTCCACTACTGACGAATGGATTAGAAAATGTGGTACTTATATACAGTGGAATTCTATTCAGCCACAAAGAAGAATGAAATTTTGTTGTTTGTAGGTAAATAGATGGAACTGAAGAACATCATCTTAAGTGAAGTTAGCCTGGTTTAGAAGGCCAAAAGCTGCATGTTTTCTCTAATATGTAGAATATAGACATAATAAAAGTGTCGTAATATTATGAAAAACAGGAAACACTAAGGGGAGGTCACACATGAGACGGGGATAAGGAAGTTAAGAAGGTGAACACGGTTGATGTATTCTCTTTAGAAGAATTAATGTGGAATTTTTAAACTGGTTGAAACAACCAAAAAAAAGGACTAGGAAGAAGAAAAATAGAGGAAATGAACTAATGAACTAAATTGGATTGTAATACATATATATATGGAAGTGCCACAGAAAACTCCTTGTGGAGTTTAAGCTGTCTTAAACACAAAACTGTCATTTCTTTTCCCCTTTTTTTTGTTTTCCCCAAAATCAAAGAACAGGAGGGTGAACAGGTCTTGCCTGGGAGCAGGGGGATAGGGTGTAAGAGGGTGAATATGGTGCAAATACTGTGTACACATGAATGTAAATAGAAAAAAGATACCTGTTGAAACTATTTCTTAAATGAGGGGAGGAGGAATAAAGGAGAATGGTGGAGGGGGGTGAATTCAAGTATGATATATTTAATATTTTATAAGAACCTTTGTAAATGCCACAGTGCAATAATACACTACAATAATAAATTTTTTATTATTCATTTATTCACATGTGCATACATTGTTTGGGTCATTTCTCCCCCCGACCCCTGCCCTCACTTCTAGGCAGAAGCTGTTCTGCCCTTTTCTGTAATTTTGTTGAAGAGAAGACATAAGCGTAATAAGAAAGACAAAGTGTTTTTGCTAGTTGAGTTAAGGATAGCTATACAGAGAGATACTTAGCATTGTTTCCATGTACAAATATGTTACAACCCAAGTTGATTCATCTCTAACTGATCTTTTTACACTGGTTGTTGATCCCCTTCTTGTGTTGAACTCTGTATCAGTTCCTCTGGAGTGGGGACATCAAACACTTTCATGTTTTGGGTTTCTTACCTATCCCCATACCTCCTGTATGTGCTCTCCCCTTGTCATGTGACCCAAATCCAATCACATTGCTGTATTTGCCCTAGGTCTAAAATTCACATATGAGGGAGAACATATGATTTTTGGTCTTCTGAGCCTGGATAACCTCGCTCAGAATGATGTTCTCCAGTTCCATCCATTTATTTGTGAATGATAAGATTTCATTCTTATTCATGGCTGAGTAAAATTCCATTGTGTATAAATACCACATTTTCTTGATCCATTCGTCAGTAGTGGGGCATCTTGGTTGTTTCCATAACTTGGCTATTGTGAATAGCGCTGCAGTAAACATGGGTGTGCAGGTGCCTTTGGAGCAACCTGTGTCACATTCCTTTGGGTATATCCCCAGGAGTGGGATTGCTGGATCATGTGGCAGATCTATGTTTAGATTTTTAAGAAGCCTCCAAATTTTTTTCCAGTGTGGTTGCACTAGCTTGCATTCCCACCAGCAGTGTACGAGCATTCCTTTTTCCCCACATCCTCGCAAACACCTGTTGTTGTTGGTGTTTTTGATGATGGCTATTCTAACAGGGGTGAGGAGGAACCTTAGTGTGGTTTTGATTTGCATTTTCTTTATGGCCAGAAATGGTGAGCATTTTTTCATGTGTTTTTTGGCCATTTGAATTTCTTCTTTTGAGAAAGTTGTGTTGAGTTCAGTTGCCCATTTCTTTATTGGTTCATTGATTTTGGGAGAGTTTAGTTTCTTAAGTTTCCTGTATATTCTGGTTATCAGTCTTTTGTTTGATGTATAGCTGGCAAATATTTTCTTCTACTCTGTGGGTGGATTCTTCAGTTTAGAGATGATTTCTTTTGTTGTGCAGAACCTTTTTAAATTTATGAAGTCCCATTTGTCCATTCTTTCTCTTAGTTGCTAAGCTGCTGGGGTTCTACTGAGGAAATCCTTGCCTATACCTATCACTCCCAGAGTGTTTCCTGCTCCTTCCTGTACTAACTTCAGAGTTTCAGGTCTAATATTAAGGTCCTTGATCCATTGAGTTGATACTAGTACAGGGTGATGAACATGGATCTAGTTTCACTTTCTTGCAGATGGATAACCACTTTTCCCAGCAACATTTCTTGAAGAGGCTGTCTTTTCTCCATTGTATATTTTTGGCACCTTTGTCAAAAATAAAGTGGGTATAGTTGTGTGGATTCATATCCTGGTCCTCTATTCTGTTCCACTGGTCTTCATGTCTGTTTTTGTTTCAGTACCATGCTGTTTTTACTGCTATTGCTTTGTTGTGATACTTCCAGCATTGCTCTTTTTGCTGAGTATTGCCTTGGCTATTCGCGGTCTCTTGTGTTTCCAAATGAACTTTAGGGTGGATTTTCAATCTCTGTGATGAAAGTCATTGGGATTTTGATGGGAATTGCATTAAACACATAGATTGCTTTTGGTAATACAGCCTTTTTACTATGTTGATTCTACCAGTCCATGAGCACGGGAGATCTTTCCATATTGTGTAGTCTTCTTCAATTTCTTTCTTCAGGGGTTTGTAATTCTCCTTGTAGAGGTCATTCACAGCCTTTGTTAAGTTTACTTCTAGGTATTTGATTTTTTTTTTTGAGGCTATTGTGAATGGAATTGTTTCTGTATATTCCTTCTAGGTTTGTTCATTGTTGGTGTATAGAAAGCTAATGACTTTTGTAAGTTGATTTTGTATCCTGCCACCTTGCTACAGCTGTTTTTGGTGCCTAGGAGTTTTTGGGTAGAGTTTTTTGGGTCTTCAAGGTATAGGATCATATCGTCTGCGAATAGGGATATTTTGACAGTTTCTTTACCTATTTGTATTCCTTTTATTTCTTCTTCTTGCCTAATTGCTCTGGCTAGGAATTCCAGTACTGTGTTGAATAGGAGTGGGGTTAGTGGGCACTTGTCTCGTTCCTGATTTTAGTGGAAATGGTTTCAGTTTTTCACCGTTAAGTATGATGTTGGCTGCAGGTTTGTCATATATAGCCTTTACAATGTTGAGGTACTTCAATCCTAGTTTTCTTAGAGCTTTTATCATGAAGTGGTGTTGGATCTTGTCGAAGGCTTTTTCTGCAGCTATTGATGATCAAGTGGTTTTTGTCTTTGCTTCTATTAATATGCTATATTACATTTATAGATTTGCATATGTTGAACCAGTCCTGCATCCCCGGGATGAAGCTGACTTGATCATGGTGGATGATCTTTCTGATGTGTTATTGGATTTGGTTTGCCATTATTTTATTGAGGATTTTTGCATCAATGTTCATTAAGTTCTCCTTTTTGGAGGTGTCCTTCTCTGGTTTTCGGATGAGGGTAATATTGGCTTCATAAAATAAGTTAGGCATTGTTCCTTCCCTTTCTATTTCATGGAACAGTTTAAGGAGGGTTGGTATTAGTTCTTCTTTAAACATCTGATAGAATTCAGCAGAGAATTCATCAGGTCCTGGACTTTTCTTTTTTGGGAGACTTTTTATTGCTGCTTCAATTTCATTTTGTGTTTTAGATCTATTCGGGTGATTAATATCTTCTTGGTTCAGTTTTGGATGGTTGTAAATATGTAGAAATCTGTCCATTTCTTCAAGATTTTCAAATTTATTAGAATAAAGGTTCTCAAAGTAGTCTCTGATGATTTCCTGGATTTCCGAGGTGTTATCTCCCCTCTTGCACTTCCAATTTTACTGATTTGGGTTTTTTCTCTCCTCATTTTAGTCAGGTTTGCCAGGGGTCTGTCAATCTTATTTATTTTTTCAAAGAATCCGCTTTTTGTTTCATTGATTCCTTGTGTCATTTTTTGTTTCTTTGTTTGTTTCTATTTCATTGATTTGAGCCCTTATTTTTACTATTTCGCTCCTTCTGCTTGTTTCTAGGAGTTTGAGATGTAGCATTAGGTCATTGATTTGAGATCTTTCTGACTTTTTAATATATGCACTCATGGCTGTAAACTTTCCTCTTAGGACTGCCTTTGCTGTGTCCCATAGGTTCTGGTACGTTGTGCTTTCTTATTCATTAACTTCCAGGAACCTTTTAATTTCCTCTTTTATTTCATCAATGACCCACTGATCATTGAGCAATGTGTTATTCAGCTTCCAGTTGTTTGCATGTTTTTTACTGTTGTTTTTGTTGTTGAGGTCTAGTTTTAATGCATTATGATCACATAGAATACATGGGATTATTTCTGTTTTCTTGTATTTGGTGAGGCTTGCTTTCTGCCTCATTGTTGGTTTAGGGTAAACATACATCAAATGGAAGCAGGTCAGAGAATAAAGATTAAAGACTACAAAAATCCAGATCAGGAATGAGTTGGATACTAACACAAAAAGTACATATAAACATTTTTACCCATCTAAAGTTATATTATAAAAGAATATCTTCAGTTAATATACAGGTCTGTGATGACAGCAAAATGAAATGTACTTACTCATCCAACTCTTCTTCTGTTTTAGAACTATCAGCATAGAGGTACTTGCTCATGTCCACGGGTCTTATATTTTTTCTTTTTATAGACTGAGGAGAAGAATCCTTTAGAGTCACAAAGGTTTCTAGCTCATCAAATGGGTTCAAATACTGTGGAGTATGTGTATCTTTAAAGGGATTATAGCTGTTATTATAAAAAGATTCTTCTGGCTTTTTAGGTGACACTGTTTCAGTGATTGGTTCTATAAGACAATACCAAAAAAACAAGTTAAATTAAATTAATAGCATATGATACTGTCTTAAATTTCTAGTGTCTTCAAAAATTGCAGCTTTGAGTTAATAAACTATAGGGTTAAAAGAGTACAAAAGCAATAATGAAATAATAATGCATTTTAGAGGTGTGAAGAAATCCTGAGGTTCAAGAAATGTAATATCTAAGATATCTATCTAACTTTTTAGGATGGCACTCTCAAAAATGGTCTCTTTAGATACCACAGCCTTTGGAGCTTTTAATACAGTAGATCCTTGGAACCCATGCGTATGTATTTCCAAGGAAACGGCTATTGAGGAAAACCCACAAATGCTGAGGATACACAGAATTTAGCACTGTACTGCAAATGCTTGATTCATTTTTCCCATAACACCCTCTAACTTCTGCTAAAGAACATGCCACCTTTCAATAAATCTAAATTTTTCACTTCAGTTAAGCACATTAACGTTTATCTTGTTTGGGGGGCACTATTTTCCTTTCCCCTCCCCTCCCCTCCCTGGCAGTACTGAGGATTGAACTCAGGGCCTTGCACTTGTTAAACAAGCTAGAACTATCACTTGAGCCAAACTCCCATCTCTCATTATTTGCTTTTTGGGAAGCAGATTTTCACAAAATCAAGAGCAGGGAAACACTCAAAATGGATCAGAAATCAAAACCACCTAAATTTAGAAAAGTTACATATTTATTTTGCAATGGAAAGCCCCAATACTAATGTCTGAAAGTATTTTGGTAGTATCTTTTTAACATATATTCAGATACATGCAGTAAACAATCAAAGAGAAACTGTGTGGTTAAAAGAAGATATTTGTTTGGAAATTTTACCTCTAACTTCACCTCCAATTACCTTAAATTCAAACTATTTAAACTCCTGGGGGAATTAGCTTTCTAATCTATGAAAAGAAGTAGTTAAACAGACTGTCTCTAAGATTCATTGTAGCCTTTATTAAGATTTAAAATATGGTTCACAATATATAGTCCAAAAACAAAATTAAATCTCATTAATTTAAACTTATTAATTTGGAGTCTGGTAAGAAGGGAAAAAACAAAGGAAGGGAAGGAAATATGATTATGAAATAATATTGCTCTAACAGAGTGAATCCTGAAGCTGCAACTTCATTTTCACCATGATAGGCAGTAGCAAGGTTCTTTAAAGCTCATGAAGATTTCATAAGAACAGTCAAAAAGATATAAACAGTGCTTAATCATTTTTACATTACTTTGAGCAAAGAGCTTAATTATAAAGGGCTCACTTCTTCAATAGCCCTTATGCAAGCTTTGGATATGAAAAATGACTCAGGGAAAAAAATTCTTAATTTTAGTCCTTGTACATCATATATGCGTATATATACACATATATATGATATATATGATGGAGTGGTTCTTAAACCTTTCTGCTCCATGCTATCACATACACAACTTATTCTCATTGGTAACTGATTCTCAGCCATAGACATGGAGATGGAGTGAGCTGAACGTTTGATGGAGCCATCTGAAGATTCTCTGAACGTCAGAGTTGGAAGAGCTAAATGGAGAAAGCTACCACTAGTACATCGATATTGTTATGTCCCACAGCCTGACCTCACTTGGTATGCCTATCAAATGAGACTGTACTATTTGTCAGTTAGGTAACATACCATTTCTAGCACTAGACCTTTACTATCTGTTTTACCAAGCTAATGGAGAACTAAAAGCACAAGACCCAGGTAAGTGTCTATATAAGACTTTCTTTTTTCTTTAAAAGCAATTTAACTCTAAGGGCAAGAACTTGACTATACAAATGCTTTAAATGTATAGAGAAACTTGCTACCTTCTGAGTCAGGATCTCCAAATGGATTTAATTCTGCTAAATCAGGTTCATCAAATGGATTTGAATTCACAGTAGCCAAGTCCTTTTCTGCTTCATCCAAAAAGTTAAGTTTGTTGATAAGTTCTGAAAATAAACATACATGTAAAGTCTACTATTGTTAGGGTGAAGCATAATTATTGATCATTCACGAAACATTTCAAAATTTAAAAATTCACATTAATAATACCTGCAAATAATAAGATACAGTATTTTATCAATGGCAGAATGCCATTCAAGTACATTGTAGTATACCAACATTTTAAAATAAAACAAAATTATCAATTTCAAAATTATATCAGATAATGAACTATATTAAAGAAGCTTTCATTTGAACTGAATTTGATTTAATTTAAAAGTGCTAAATAGGTTTTTAGAAAAAACATACTTCACTCCAATATAGAAGCAATTACCATAAAATACTAATAATTTACAAGATCACTGAAAAAATATCATGTTATATGATCAACTATTAATCTTAGAAGATGTTTTTAAATCACTGTTAAGGATCTTGATACAAGGCTTTGCTAAAAATAAGTTGTTATCTTTGTTGCCTGTTGGTGCACTACAAATTACCAAAGAAAACATTCTAGAAAAGCACAAAGACAAAACTGACAGCTAAGTACAGACAGAAGTCAAGATGTAGCAGGTCACAGTAAATACAGGCAATCAGAAGCAGAAAGAAAGGAGGAAAGCTCTTAGACCTTCAGAGGAACTGGCTGATTTAGCTGAAGGCATATTTGCTTGCTTTATGCAGTCATCTTGATCTTCATCTAAGCTGCTCAGAGCATTCAACTGGTTTACAATTTCTGTAAACAGAAGCCAGTCAAGACAAATGTAAGGTAAGGTCATTTAATTAAAGAGCAGTAGGAGCATGCTATTACTCAAAAAGACAGATGGGGGATGTTTGGTTAGTCAAGAGAATACATCCAAGGATGTTATTCTGATGAACTATAACAGATGTTATTAACTGAATGTTATGTTGTACTCATATTTTAAAACAGAAAGCATTTTACTGTTAAAACTTGTATTAGTAACATAATAACTAAATTAATAAACACAAAACAAAGACAATACATATCCCAAAAGATTGACACAGACTTTCAGCAACCACATTTTGCCATTTGTAAAAATGAGTTGTGCTTTAAACACAATCATTAGAAACAGATTAATAAATATCCTCTGATATTCACCATTTATTTTTATAAAATTCTAAATTTAAACTAACAGTTTTAAGAATACATCTACGATGTTAGAGAGATGGCTCAAATGGTATAGTGCCTGTCTAGCAAATGCAAAACCCTGAGTTCAAACCCCAGTCCAAGAAAAAAACAAATACATGAATAGTGTACGTAGTAAGGATTCATGTTCTAGAATTTTAAATATCATCACTAAAACAATAAAACTAGGCAACAAGTACTATTTTCTACTCCTATTTTGTATGGAATCTTGTCTCTTATAGCAACTCCTACCTAAATATTCACTTTAAAATCTTATTTTGCCAATAAGGAACAGAGCGAAAAAGGTAAGGATAAAGAGAAAAAAAAATTAAAATAGAATTAGTCTTACATATAACAATACTTTAAAAAATTTGGTCGTTTATATTTTGGATGACTTTGATTATGTGGACTTATCATTCATTGAGTAAAAATTAGACAATTTGGAAACAAGATAGTAAGTCCCAACTAGAGTATGTAACTTAATCCTTGACGTTTCCAAAGTTACAACCTGGGAATATCTTAGACATGAGGATAAACCAAACAGACCCAGACCACTCAGTGGAGAAAGAAAAAAATGGTTAGCTACAGAAAACAGTGTTAAATTTGACATTAACAATACTGTTTTTTAACATTGTAAATCTATGTACATACTAAGTTTTATTTGAACCAAATCAAAGATTATTCATTTGTTGAACAAATATTTATCAATGTGTGCCAAATCCTCTGTTTAGGACACAAAGATGAAAAAAAAAAGACAGGTTATTGTCCTTAGAATATTTATATTCTATAAAGATGTAAATAAGTATTGAAACAGAGTTAATAAATGACTTTAGAATACTAGGCTGTCAGAAATATGCTAAAGATCTTTGAGCAAAATACATATGAAAAGCCAATAAACACATTAACTTCCCTTGTCCAAATGAGAAAACACATTTTGCATGAGCAAAATTGCTGAGATAGTCAAAGTAAACCATGGAAAACAATGAGTTAGCATAATTAAACTCAACTGAACTCTTCAATGGTACCTGAATAGCACTGAAATGGCTAAGGCCTGGTTGGACTTCTGTTCCAACTAAAAGGTGCCTTCTTCTATTTTATTCTGCCAATAATTTTAAACTTTACTCTGACTCAAACTAACCTAGCAAATTTTTAAGAAGGCAGAATTCATTCGACTATATCCTTTACTTTACACTACTAATCATTATAACTATAATTTTTAGAAAATATAATGGAGTGGAGGATCAATGTTAGTTCATGTTTCATTTTTTTTATGCAGTCTAGCTTTTTTTTTTTTTTTTGTGGTTCTAGGGTTTGAACTCAGGACTTCACACTTGCTAGGCAGGCGCTGTACCACTTGAACCACGGTCCTAGATCTTCTGCTTTGGTCACTTTTGAGATAGGTTTTTGATTGTAATACTCCTATTTACAAACTAGGATGACAGGTGTGTGCCACCACACTCAGCTTTTATTGGTTGAGATGGGTCTCGTGAATTTTTTGCCTATGAACTGTGATCTTCCCAATCTCTGCCTCCCAAGTAGCTAGAACAACAGGCTTTAGTCATTGTATACAGGTTAGTTGTGTATTTTCAAAAATTGGCAAATGATTTACTTTTAATTTTGAAAATAGGAACTATGAAAAAGAAATAACAATAGCAGCTAACATATATTAAGCAGTAGGAAGGGTTCTGAATATATTAGTCAATTCTCATGAACAGCCTAAGAGGAAATATTAATGTCTGTATTTCATCATATATATTACTATCATTTAAATGCCCTATATTCCTAGATATGCAATTACTGGGTTGAAAAAATTTTAAGTACTCAAAGATTTATAGTTTTCTTTATAGAGCTAAGACATTTTATGTTCTTAAATGTAATCTCAAGGAGAGCAGAAATTACTTATTAAATCTCTTGTATAAAGAGCATTGTAAGAAATACTAGACTTAGTCTTTGCTTTCAAAAGATTAGTATTCTTTCGTGGAGTTTTAGGTATAATATGGGCATTTGTTCAAATATCAAAAGGAATCTATTATGTGACTGAATTATTCACATAGTAAGTTTTGTAAATATTTTGAATTATTTCCTCCCTCATGTTTTTGGTAATATTTAAAACCACTGATGATGACTTCTACATTAAGAACCCAAAGTAATTCTTCTTTCTAGTCTCTTCACTAAATGGCAAAATATCCTCTCTTCATAGATTTATCCTTAGCCTAAGTAAATCCTTACTTCATTCCTAAAACTTCTTTTTCTACATAGTTAGCTCATATTAACACAATGAAAAGGTAACCTGATTATCTTTACTAATGTTCCCTATACTTAGAATGCAAATAAATGCTAACAACTTCTAAAGGTATTATATTTATTTAATAATACTTATCAAATACCTATTATATACCTGAGCTAGTACCTGATCTCATGGCTTTATATTTTCGTGGGCCAGAAAGATAAGTAAAAGAATATCGGATATATGATAAATGTTATAATTAAGATACCACTGAAGGGTATGTGAAACTAAAAGAAGCATATAACTCAGTCTAAGATCAGGAGGATTTTCTAAAATTTACCTATATTTGAGCCAACACAGACAAACAGACATTGTTATTAAAATAAAAAAAGAAGAAACAGCATTTCATGAAGTCAAAAAGGAGGCAAAGAGAACCAGACATATTTGAGGAAATGAAAGTTGTTTGGGGTTTAAAATGCCAGGGATGTGGAATGCAATGACACTGGCTGGTAAATGTTCTATCATAATCAAACTGAAGAATGTGAACTTTATTCTAAAAGCTATGGGAATCCATTGAAAGATCAAAGGTGTATTTTAGAAACATCATTTCAGCAGCAAAAGGGTGGTAGCATTTGCAAGACAAAACAAAACAAAACAGTATAGGAAGTAAAGCAAGCATCACCATTCTGTAAAGGAAGGCACTCAATAAATATTTGTACATTAAAGAATAAATTAAGAAGAAATATTTGATGGTTAATTTGATACAGGAAACAGAGAAAGGAATCTGGGATAAGTGCCAGGTCTTGGGGGATTGTGTAGAAAGTAGTTCTAGCACTGCAACAGGGACTATTCAGTTGAGGACAGCCTGTGAAACTTCCCATGAGAATACTTCAACTGGCAGTTGCTATGTGAGTCTTAGTCTAAAACACATACTTTTGTTACATATTTCTCCTTCTAAAGGATTACTTTTCTGTTTCTTCTAAATTCCTACAGCCAATATGTTTTACTTTTATAAATCAGGAAAAGTTAAAAAATGAAAGACTGGAGGTATGGCTTAAGTGGTAGAGCACCTGATTAGCAAGTATGAAGACCTGAGATTAAACCTCATTACCATAAAAAAAGAGTGGCATTATGTTATAGAAAAATTAAAAACTGAAAATAAGATTTATTACAAAAATTTATTAGCAGAATTTTTTTAATTGGAAACTTTCCCAGGAAATACACTTCTGACTCAATATATTTATATAATACTTTATTTCTTATCAAAGCCATATTTCACTAGAAACTTACACATTTAGAAAATGCTAATAAGGCTACATAACACTGCAAGCAAATTTCTACCCTACTACTGCTTAAATTGAGCAATAAACCCACAGAGCAAAACATTTATAGTTAACAGTGTGTTGGGCTCTACTTGCTTCACGCCAGTGAGAATAAGAAAGGAAACTAAATTAGGGGCAGGCAATCGAAGCAAAGGGTCAAGTAATTTGCGACTCTTCTTTACTGTTAGGAAGGCAAAAGAAGATAGAAATTGACCAACAGAGATTATCACATTGAACAAAACAGGGGGGATGGAGAGGCAGTATGAAGAGTAGGTGGCTTTTTCCTTTTAAGAAAGACTGTGGATGAGTTAAAAGAAA